AACCATAGAATGTTAGGGCTAAAGTTTTATTGTTTTAAATCTTCTATGAGATGATGACTTGAATAAACATAAGTTACTGGCACGTTCTTGCCTAAGTGAAAAAAAATAAAATAAAATAAAATAAAATATAATATACCAACTAACAATATAATAAATTATCAAATCTAGGTGAATTTTAACCACTCTAGTAGGTTTAGATTATAGATAAAATAGTTTGAGTTTTATTTTTGTATAAAATTTGTAAAATTCAGCATTAGCCAGAGAAATCTCTTGTGGATTCTCAATACAAATTATTAATAAAGATAAAGGTAAAACCTCACCTTAATACCAAAAAAAAAAAAAAAATTACATTTTTGGTTTTTTTTTTTTTTACTAAGAATAAACATAGCTATTTGATTATGGCTAAATTTATAGACACCAGCCAATAACCAAAGAGATCAAGTTCCTAGTAAGTTAGAAACCCAGAGAGGTATAAACCAGGTGAGTTGGTATTTGTAGAAGCTATAGAGGAAAATTCTTTACAAATAAAGAGGGCAGGATTGCCGAATTAATAAAATACTTCGAACTATAATAAAACATATAACCCGATAACCCGTGTTAGTATTATTATTAACTATATACGTACAACTCTAATTAATACGTATACTATATATATTTATACTACGTATAGAATTAACTACATAACAAAAAAAATATCACTATATATTGATGAAATTGATTTTCACCGGCATCTTTACGTAGGTACGAACTTTTTAAAGGAGCTAAATACTTTTTGGGGTATTGTGACGCATTGTATCATTGCATAGCCTCATTTATTAAGTGCGTGGCATTACCTTCTATAAGGTCTGTATTTCTTTTCTCATTCGTATATATTCAGAATCTCTAAAAAGGTTATATTGTATCTTTTGAAAAGATCTGTTCTATTTCGGAAATAAAACTATAGTCTTTATGGCGGGAGCGATTGATGAATACCACGCAACTCTTAAAATTCTTCTAATTGGTAATTCTAATGTGGGGAAGTCCTCTCTTCTACTACGGTTCACCGAGGACACATTCTTACCGACGGACGATGTATCAGCTACAATAGGTGATTTTATGAATAGATTTTATATCTAAAGCCAAGACTGAATTTATTATTCGAAAGAATCTAACTTAGCTTAAAGTATTGTTAATTGTTTATTAAATTATTTCTAATAAATAGGTGTAGACTTTAAAGTAGTAGATACAGTAGTTAATGGCAAAAGATATAAGTTGACTATTTGGGTGCTCCATATTTTTTAGCTTAAATTTCTCATTTTTTAAGCCTAGAATTCATGACTTATTCACATCAAAAATTTGATAGGATACTGCTGGTCAAGAACGATTTCGAACTCTCACTTCTTCATATTATCGTGGTGTACAAGGTGTTATTCTTGGTAATAATATTCTTGATCAAGTTTTAACAATTATTTTATCATTTAATTATTTTAATTATTCACTCAATCTTTGTTGACCGCTAGTTTACGATGTAAGCAAGAGAGAATCGTTTGACCAATTGGATAGTTGGTTCGGAGAATTGAATACGTATTGTTCGAGTAAAGACGTGGTGAAAATGATAGTTGGAAACAAAGTTGACAAAGTATATGTTATGACAATTCACTATGGAATCCATAAAACATTTACTTATTTCAAATTGATTTTTAAGTCATTTTTTTCTATTGTTTCATAGGAACATTCTCGAGTGATTACTCGCAAAGAAGCTGAAACATATGCACGAAAAATGCAAACCTTGTTTATTGAATGTAGTGCTAAAACTAGGGTTGGTGTTAAAGAAGCTTTCGACGAACTTGTTACAAAGGTTGCTTTAATTCATTAATCTTGCAACGTTTTTTACTCAGTATATATCACGTTATCTATTGATTGTTAATTCTTAATTATTTAAATAGATCATTGAAACGCCAAGCTTATGGCAAAAAAAAGAAAAGCAACCTGATAATATCAATGTATCTCGCTCAGCACAAACGAAGCAGGATAATAATTCTGCGTGTTGTTAGGTTATATTATGTATTGAGAGATGTTTGTTTTTTTGATAACATTAATGAGGCGTAGAAAAAACACGTAGCGTGTTCTTTGTGTAGAAAAAACAATTCATTTAAAGCCAACAGAGCGTAGGTAAGAATATGATAAAGGTAAAGTGGGACTACAAAAACGCACTGTCGTATTATTTATTCACAAGAGTTATTATTTCATAATCGCACGTATTGTATTTGCATTTATGATTAAAGATTCACAAAAATTCATGGTTGTACGTACATGAATTGATTAATATGGGTGGATCAATAAATAGTGTTTCCTAATATAACAGACTTTGTAATTTAGATACATATTTTTATTTCATTTTATTTTATTTATTTCATGTAAATTTAATTTTTATCATCGAATAATAAAGGCATTAGTATTACTGGAAAAATTGACATTTTTTCATTTCAGCATTCGAGGTTTATCCACGTGATATACTGAAATTAATTTAACAGGGGTCGCTTGATTATATCAGTCACGACTACGTGATTGTGACGCAAGTAATGTAATCATTAATAGCGGGGGTGCCGTTTTAGTTGGCTATTATCGTTATGTTTAGTCGACTAGTATTTTCCTCTTAATAAAAAATTATTCGAGTTGTCTTATTAGGAGTATTAAAATAATAAGTGCTTAATTACTAGATTTAAATTGAAATATTCTCATATATTAACGTTAACTAACTAATTTTACAATTTCATCTCACTGTTTCTCCATTTCACCGTTTAGTCATTTCACCAACTTCACCAATTCCATTATTTCATCAATTTTGCCAAAATAATTCGTCATCAGTCAGCCAAGCATCTAAGAATTCGGTGCTTAGTTATACATATTGCAGTCTCCCAACTAATTCGCTCATATTTCATGTTTCTTGACATTTTCCGAAATTTTCCGACGTTCCTAACTATATACCTGGCCCAAATTTAGAGTTCGTTGTCAAAAATTCCATTTTATGCCGTGTGAACGGATTTTAAGATATAGAATTTACAGTATTTTATACGTATAAACTTACAGCCTAACCTTAGAAATTCTACGTAAGAAATTCCAAATCCATTTAAATTCCGTTCCACTTACAACATAACCTATATATGTAAATATTACTTTTTTATTTGTATATTTAAGTTGTTTTAAGACTGATTTTATATTCTAATCAAAGTTTTATAATTTTAACTCGTACAAATACCAGCTTAGTGCTTCTAATGGGGTTGATCTAAACAATCTAAAACTAATAAATTTAGTTATACAGTTATACAGTTATACAGTAATATAATAACATTTTTTGGCTGGTGATACTGATATAATTTTCTAGACTATGATCCTATACTAATAAAGACTTCCTTGACATTAAAGCCCCAGTTTGCTTCACATTAGATCCTCAACTTTCTGAGGATTTGATTCCTCTAATCATAAGCAGAGGGTTAGCTTTTCATATCAAGATGCAAAACAAAATATAAAAAAGCATTAAAAAAACAAAACATTAATTGATAATCCGCCTATGAACTGGAGAATAGGCGAAATGAGACGTCTGCCATTTAAAACTTTTTTTATTACTAAGTTAACGATATATGCTTACTAATTGAAAGTTGTAGAGCTCGTCGAGACGCATCTAACGGTGGTTAGATCATCCAAATCGGCTCAGTGGATGGCGAGATATCGTTGAAATACGATTGGCTGACTATCGCTACGTTTCGCCAATGGTGATTTTCATATTGATATGTAATTTCTGTCATGGATTTTTATATAGTCAGCCAATTGTATTTCAACGATATCTCGCCATCCACTGGGCCGATTTGGATGATCTAACCACCGTTAGATGCGTTTCAACGAGCTCTACAACTTTCAATTAGTAAGCATATATCATTAACTTAGTAATAAAAAAATTTTAGATGGCAGACATCTCATTTCGCCTATTCTCCAGTTCATAGGCAGATTATTAATTAAGATATAAAAGTCTATAATAAAAGATACAAATAAGAAAGTAAAATTGTAAGAGAAAGTGAAAACAAAATAAAAAAAATTTGCAAAATCCAATATCACAATTATGAGTTTGTAAAAGATTTGTAAAAATTATATACTACTAAACAAAATAGTTTTTACTCTAAATTTATCTAAATAGTATATTAAAATAAAAATTATATAGAAAAAACTATTAATCAAAATTATAAAGAGGTTAAATATTATCTTAAAGTATTATTTATACAAATATATATATATATATATATATATATATTTTAATCTTTGATAACCTTGCTGATGATTCTTTATTAAGATTATTATATAAGTTAATTATATAATATTGAGCTTAATATTTAGGCCTGACAAAATAATGTTAGATTCAAACTCTTTCCGTCAATCACTTACACAAAATTTAACTAAAAATTTGCCAGTCAAAAATTGTTAATAACACATTATTTTATTAAGATAACTTAACTGCCTTTGGCAGTTTAAATAAATTTGTTCAGCTCAAAATTTTACATATAATCTAAAAGTTTCAAGTCTCTATCTTGTAAACTTGTAGCAAAATGCTACAAAAACTACTTTTGGTTTTAAAACTCTAACTTTTAATTATTTCTCTAAAACCACCTTCACAATTTATCTAACAGCTCTAAAATAAGTTATTAAGCTTACCTACCCAGTCAAAACAAGCTCTTAACAAAAGTTTTTAACCTAATATTGACTAAGTTACTAACAGAAAACTCTTTTTACTCTTCTATAAAAATTTATTAAAAAATTCTTTGTTTTTACCTCCAACTTTTTTTTTTCCTTCAACCTGTTTTTTGTGTAATAGTAAATCATCTCCAAATTTAGATTTAATTAAATTTTCTATTGTATCAATCAAATACCCAAAATAGAGGTTGGCTAAAGTGGAGCAAGTTTTGATGATCTACATGTTAAGTGATATAATATATATAAACAATCGATCACATGCATAATACTATAACAATCGATCACGTGCATTGTACTATAATATTGATTACATATAAAATTATTATTTAATTAAATTTATCTAAGAAAACCTTCGTTAAATAAAAAATTTTTAAAGAATATGATATCTTATGTGTATTTTACCAGATTTCATTTATTATTAATTCAATTAATCGATTAGGCTAACTAATCAATTAATTGAATAAAATCAATTAATCAATTAGTTAGATAAAATAATTTAATTAAAAATTTTTATTGATTTGTATCACTAGTATATAATATTATTTATAAAGAGTAAAACAAAGATTACTTGCACTTGATATCTTTATTATATAGTAGATTCAGATCACTATATACATATAATAATTTTAATTCATGCTAAAAATTAGATCTAAAAAACCCTTTAGTCTGACAATAAATGCCTCTACTTCTTTAGCACCACCTTTTTCTTTGATATTCCAATATTTGCTATGCAATTTTTCAGTTAGCTTATTAATAGCATGTCGTCTATTTTCTGCTCTTTTTTCCTCTTCACTACATCCTGATAATTCTATAGTTACTAACTCACAATGTTTATATACTTCAAAGCCACTTTCCTCAAACATTTCTTGATATGATTTCTAAGCTTCGGTTGTTAATAATCGGTTAGTACTGTAGGTATGCTCGTGGAATATATGTTTGTATGATAACATATATCGAGTTCGGAATAAACAGCAACAATCTAGTGAAGTAAGCCCCGGAGAACCTTTACCCTTTGCCAACCTATCTAAAACAGCACAAGCTTCTTTTATAAGCATTAATTGCATGGGATAAGGAAACTTATGAATCTCGTTGATGATTTCTTCATTAATACCATAGACCGACACTTTTTTTGTATAGAAATCAAAAGCAGTACTCTCAGCTGCAATTTTTTTTTTTTTACCAAAGGCAACAACTTTATGAGCTGCACCAATTAGCCTGTATAAACGAGATGTTGTCATTTTTAATTCACTGTGAAAGGACTCTAGTGCATTGGTGGATATAATTTGAAGTAAAAGCGGAGAATGTTGCTGCACCCAAAGGGCCCGTTTTTCATGTAATTTCATTGAATATACTTATTAACAGCATGAACTGAGCAAGTGCTAATAGCCTCTTCAACAAGTTTTCTTATTCATAGCTTCGATCATAATTTTTCACGTCTTATCTTCATAGATTTTTGACATCTACGTGCGCAACAAATAAACAATATATAACAAAATTTTACACCTTTGTTTACCAACACTAATATCAGAGAAAGCTTGCTTTACACTGTTAGCTTCTGTGCTGCTTTGGTCAATCAGAATATAGCAGGGAGACCAGCAGTGACATTTATCTCGAATTAATTGTAATGCTTTCGTAATAGTCACACTATCTTCAGCACATACAAAAAAATGAAACCCACTTTCCCAACATCTGTGATTGTCATGAACATATAATGTAAAAAGGTTCCAGTCATGCTTATTTGTCTTGTGTGTTGAGTCCATCAACGTAAGCCAGCCATGTCGTTCAAGTTTTTCCATTTGTCTAGGGTGCGCGAACACTATACCTTCCGTGCATTTTACTTGTCTGTCTGCGGATTTTTGAACAATATAATAATGTTCGGCATGATATTCCTGACTTCTTAAATATGATAAAGTCTTGATTATATCTATTTCAAGATTTTCATTACCTACTAAATGGGCATTCATCAGTCCTTAAATTCTATATTTTATATTTGTGACTTCTTTTTGCTTTAAATATTCGACGCTATTGCCTAGACCTAACTCATTTTTTGCGTATTCTTTGACTGTGTTAGTAATTGCAGCAGGAGTATAATTTTTAACATCTTCATTTATAACCAAAGTCCGGATGGTATTT